AGTAGTTTGCCTTGGCCTCATGTAAGGTGTTCACATTCTACACGCATGATTCAATCTTTTACTGATTTTATTTTCCTCATTTTTAATTAAACCATTTACCTTTATTTACATGGTGCTCTTTAAAAAGTCCAATGTACCAATTTGCTGCTTTTTGAGATTTGAAGATAACTCTAGAAGGTCAGTTAGAAAACAACTAATCAAACTCATATATCCAGGTAAAACAAGAAATACAAATGGTATCAGCACCAAGAGCTTTTTTTAAAATTCCATTCACCTCTGTGTACCTGGCAAATAAACTGTTCAATATTTCAAGGTTGGCTGGCTCTTTGGAAAAACATTAATTATGTCCCTGGGCGGACAGGAGGCATCCATCTAAAAGGTTTTTAAGGCGGTCCAGAAAACACACTTGACCGTCCGTGACTCACTCCAAACAACAACCCCTACGGACAATCAGAATTTAGGAATAAAGATATATCCCTGTGACAGTTGGCTAAATGACTCAATAACAGACAATATTCACTTTAATATCCATAATGTAATAAATGACCTTAGAGGAAAAATACAATGATTAAATTGTATTTTCAAACCTTACTCTTAGTCAAAGGTAAGTACTGCTGTTCTGACGACGTCAACCTCAGATGATTCACAACTTGAATGACCTTACATTATGGAAGAATCTAATATAAAGACTGCGTAATGATATACATTTCAAAAGAAATAATGCTGCTAGGTACAGGATGACATGTTCAAGGTACTTGATATAATACTAAATAGCATTTTATGGAAAGCAACAATAGCTTTCTATTAAGCCAACATTCTGGCTACATTGTACCAACGAATTAGCCTTGACCATCGTTGACATCCAATTCCACTTAATACAAAATGTGAAGAATTCTACCTCAGAACTTGTCAGTGCTTGATATTTAATGACTACCAATTAACCTTTATCAGATTCAAGGATCCCTGAACACAAAAGCTTCTCACATTTGGACCAGAAGTGGTTTGCTATTGAAAAGACAACAAAATGCAAAGAAATTCATCTCATCACCTTAAACACAACTTGAGGGGAATTATCAGCAGTAACACCTGATGTCACAGAGATTAATTAGGGAGAGGAGACGGAAGAGATACAGTATAAAATGTTTACAATATCATTTGAAATTGACTTTTGAAGAGTTATAGTTATTTAATTCCTAATTTGTTTTGCTGCCTTAATGACCTTTTAGAGCTTGACTGCGGAAAGAGACAAACTAAAGAAAATACATAAACTTGGAGGCCATTAAATGGGTTTTTTGCCACAAGGACATTTTGATAACACACATTTTCAAGGCAAAAATAATGAGGTCAGGCAGAGTAATAAGGGGAAGGTTTTATCATGAGTCCACTCGTACATCAGAAAGGCAAAGTAATTGGTTAATGTGCCCAATGTTGTCCTTGTCCTGCACCTGAAGAAGAGGATAATTCTTAGAGCAACACCGCCATCTGCTGCTCAAAGAGATCAACAACCACAGCAGCCAGTGGGAGGTACACTGAGTAAAAAGTAACAGATTGTTAAGAGACCTCTCTGAACACTCCACTAGGAAATAGGCATACAATAATATGTTGTTCCCTAACTTGCTAATGTTTAGTCTAGCTTAGTTTAGTTTATTTGTTTATAGTGTCGTGGTCAGTCCCAATTGATCAACTGTCACAAAAAACAGTAAATGGGGCAGCTTTAGCAAACATTGCTAACTTCCAGCTGTTGTCCCCGGCCAAATGATAATGGGCACCCTTAAAATCACAATACACTAACCCTAACCCTACAATACATGTCATGTGGAGTAATAACAGTGAGCTAAAAGATGCACCTTTTACATTTTCGTGTGAAAAATCGACTAATGCACGGAACTGAAAAACTGGAAAGCTCAAGTTTGGACACAGTTGGTTAAAATCGGTTTAACCAGTGATATCCTGATATTTAAAGTTCTTCAAGACACAATGATAACTGCAGGTCGAATAAAATCTGCATTAGACAAAACATATTTGACATTCACTAAACATATTAAAGCACCAGGTGTACTGACAACAGCATAAAACCATCCCTAAAACTCTGAGCCAATGTTGCTTTAGGACATCTTGTTATGCCCTTCTCGGAGACGTCACACTTTCACAATTAGCATGGTACATCATTTCAGTCACATCCTTAAAAGTGGATTGTGTTTTGTCAGACACAGCAGACGTCTTCAGACCCCCCTACCTCCCCTACTGGGACGGACCCTTTGAGGATGGTGGCTCTGTTTACCCGATAGATTTCATTAAATTAAGCTTATGCCGGGCCTCTTCCTAACCTGATCAAAGACACTGCTAAGAGACATCCTGCTTCCCCTGACCAGAAAAAAGCCACCAAATAGGATTTTCATTGTTTCATTTAAACATGTCCACACTTTTTTTTTTGGTGCCCGTTTGTCACGACCCAGCACCTTTAAAGACCCCCACTGTCCCCCTCTATTATCGCAATGAAGCTGTCAGCCAAGCCAACAAAGCCACATCATATATATATATACACCTTTGGGATGCCCGTTTGATAAGTTGTCTTCCCGGATGAAATGGCTGGGTTACTGAGGTCGACTCGGGCCCTGTCTGGAAAGGAGCAGCAATGAGGTCTCAAGCTGGCACACCGGTGGTAGCAAGACTTCAAACCACGGGTGAAAGGGAGGATGAGAGAGCAGGTTAAGGGGGGAGACACCCGTGGGAGGCCGGTAGGGGGTGAGATTGGGGTGGGGGGGGGGGGGGGGATTGGGTAGTGAGGGAGTGGAAAGGCCTTGATATCCACAGAAAGCACAACAAAGCCAGAGCTTTTTACATTAAAAAGAAAAGGAGATTGCCTTTTTTCCACAAGACGCCTTTTCGAGCCGAGTGTCATGTCCTCCCTGGGCCTGCAGGAAGTGAGAGGCTGAGCTCGGCTATAGCATTTGGCACATCTGAGGCACTTCAGAGGGGGCTGAAGTTCTTGCCTTCTGAACACTTGCATCAGATTTACGGGAGACCAGATATTCTTGATGTTACCGTGTGAGGTGGGTGATCCTGGTTTAAATGCACACTGATCGGACCACACCACACACAGAGGGGTAAAAACGAAAATGTCTCCGCTAAACTGTGGAGTCACAGTTACACGCAGGGCAATATTCTTTTATTCTTCATCCAGTCAGACTGTCCTACTGCTACCTTCTGCTTTACATGTCAGCATTGTGGGCCTTGATACACAAGTGTGCACTTATATAAGTACGATTTTAGAAATAATTAGGATCAGAGCATGCAACATTTTTGTTTTATAAGGAGGAAGCAAAACACATTTTGACCAAAGAACAAGCATACAAATGCAAGTAATGAAAACGTGCAGCAATATCAGCCACAGCGGGGTTTACTGCTTGATGATTGAGCACGGTAAGTGTGTGGAGAAGAAAAGTTCAAGATTAATCACGAGCCAATTAAATGCCCATGGCGAGGAAAGTAAGCTGTCGTGGCACGGAGATCTCCTCCTGTGATCTCAGCGAACACTTCTCTGTGGTGTTCTCCCTGATCACTGGCACAGGATAGCTCCATCCAAATGGGTTGTTTATGCATGTTTACTTGTTTGTTTGTACATTCCATTGAATAGGGATTTGTTTTATTGCATGGTGAATGATCTAAGGCAGATGTTTGAGTTAACGATTTGGTGAAATATGAGCAGGTTCTGATTTCTTTTGTAGGTCAGTAGCATGGGCTAAGAAACACAAAAAGTCAATATGATTGATAAATATCTCATATTTCACTGAATTACATGTGATCGTTACAGCTTTCATTTCATTTTGTAACAAAGAGAAAACATTTTAAACTTGTAATTCAGATTATTATGTAATTTCTTTGGAGAAAAGCGGTCTACAACTGTGTATTTTTTATGATCTGTAATGATTACCATTATTTCCTGAAATCCTTTCCATCAAGAAAAAACTAACCAACAAAAAAAATACTCTTTCCAAGTAAAGAAACAGTTCACATTTGAGAGGAAAGCTACACCTTGAATTCATATTAAGGTTTTTGAGAAAAGTGTGTTTTATGTATTTTGCCCTTAAACCTAAAATAGTGTAATACTTAATTGGAACCACATTAGCAACTAGGTAAAATGCTGCCACTAACTATCTAAACATAACATTCAGCATGTACTATCCAGCCCATTCTGAGTCTGTGGATTTATCACACATCACATTAGATTTGTGGAAGCACTTGTCTTTTCTCGAACTCAAGGTCAGTTGCATTTACACCACGGGTTTGCTATCGTGTTGTGAGCATCGGCAAAACAAAACTGACAACAGAAAACAATAACAGATAAGGGGAAAATATCATTAAAGATACATATCTAGGCAAGGTAAAGATTTAAATAGAATCAGTGAACTTAAGATGTCTTTCAATTTAGGGAAATCGAACACAAAGGGAAGAAGAGAATATGCAAGTATTGGATTTACATTAAGTACAGTTATTGCTCTTACAAATGGAATACGTGAAATCAGCATTATTCCGTAGGCAACAACCTGACTGGGCTGTTCATTAAGCTTTGATAGAGGCTGGAGATCAAGTCAAGACATACCGCGATTCAATCATGAATTACTAAACAAGGCCAGATTCTGCTGCAACAACACAAACACACAGCCTGTTCTCAATAGGCAACACATGCAAGTTCAAACTTGAACTCGGAATTAGCCTCAGTGGACGCACCTCCGAGCTTCCGTGTAGGACCGCGCGCGTGTGTGTGTGTGTGTGTGTGTGTGTGTGTGTGTGTGTGTGTGTGTGTGTTTGTGTGTGTTTGTGTGTGTTGGAGAGAGGGGGAGATTTGTGACTGTGACACCTACACTGATACATAAATAGTGTATTCTCTACACAAAAGGGTATTTTAAAAGTAACTCTAAAGTGGATTGTTGACGTGTGCGGTATATTTGTAATGTTTAAATAACCATAAAGTTTGAAGCAGGTGTGTGGGTACTTACAAAGTCTTTCTCCAGCTTCTCTATCTCCCCTTTGTAGCTCTTCAGTCTGCTGTTGTACATGGGCCGGCTCTGGATGGGGATCTCCCGCACCTCCAGGTCCATCTGCTCCAGCTGAAACCCGCAGTAAACCCAGTTACCTCCACTAAACTTTTTCCAGGATAACACTATCCAATTCATTTCACAAGTAAAGAATAACTTGGAAAACAAAACATTACACAAGTGACAGGTTTAGTGTTTATTCTGATCCAAATTGACTTCATAATGTGAAGGTACAAACCTGGTGAAATGAGCACTATTTATTATATTGTTTTTTATAGCAGTCTTGAACAAATGCTGACATAAAATCCTCTAATTATTATTGTTTTACAATCTACGCATGTCTCACAAAGGTTACTATCTATGACAAAATGCTGCCTAAGATAGAAATTGTGACAACTCTGAAAATATTGAACTTCCTGAAATGAGTTGTTCCAGCAGCAATAACTTTAATATGCTCCAATGTTGATTGTAAAATGAAAATACCTCCCGCTCACGTCACTCAGCTGTGATAAAAGTTGCGACAGAGGAAGGCTGTTCTGTAAATAAATACACTATCAAATATGAGCGCCCCTTCATGTCAGCGACATGCACAGACCCAACAATGTCAAAGTGAATAAAGTAAAAGTACATTTGATGCATGGCTAGACAGGTCTCTCCGTGGCGCATTTGGAGGAAACTAATCACTGTGACATAACACGACAACTGCAACAACAATTTGTCTCTGTCAGGTGACTTTGCTCATTTTTAAACAGCGACATGAAGGCTCCCACCTCAAGATAATGGCTTGAAATGTGTCATAGGGGTGTCACTTAAAAGCAGATTACTGGAAAGTAATCATGTGTGGAGGAAGCCTCCTTTCCGCCATGTGAAGTGTGTGTCTGTGTGTGTGTCTGCATGTCATGTCACCACCAGGATAATACAGGTGCTGTTGTCTGGTGCCAGAGAAAATTGTACCCTCCCTCTTTCCACAAATTCATTATTTAGGAAATGGGAAGAGGAGAAAATTACTGATCAAAGACGTACCAACTCTCTGACTTCTTCAAGCTGTTTGTCGACATTTAGAACCAGCTGTGTCTTCTCCTCTGAAAGAGAAAAAAACAGCAACATATTGATCAGCCGACAGAGGAACAGCGCTTCATGACAACAACCTAACTCCCCCGCAACGGGGGAAGAGAGGGGGAGAGAGAAAGAAAGACTGGGAGAAAACAACACACAAGGACACATTTGAAGATATATTTACACATTCTCTCTACACGACGAGCCAACATTTGATGTCTTTTAGTTATTGGCGTCTATGAGGCCTTTGTTGGTTTCTGTTGAGGAGCAGTGAGACACCTCGTGCCAACTCAAAGGGAAGGGAGGTGTCAGCTTTGCTCACTTGCCAGAAGTATGAGTCCCACTCAGAATGACTAACGCGCCGTTCAGCTCATCACCCCGTGGCTGCTCTTCCACATTACCCATTGAAACTCATTACGACTTGCGAGAGCTCCAAATAGGCACGTAAAGCACCGTACATCCCATCGTTATTTAAGGCAGCCACGCTACCACTTAATTTCTGCACATATGAGAACTGGTCTCTGTTCTAAAATTAGCTCTTTGTCCTGAAAGTGAACTGCATGAAAAGAAGAAATATGGTTCTGTAGAATCATTTAATGTCTGAAACAAGCATCAATAACACGGGTTATTTTAATGGAGGTAAAAACGGAGAAAAGATTGACCAAAATGTTGAAATACATGACAAATGTGTTTGAATTACTCATATTTAAGTATAGGTATATTCACGGATTCATAACTGAGACACACAAAAAAGCCAGTTTGAAACATCAATTGTATCACTGGTAACATGTAGTGTCATTATTTTATTATTTTTTAGGAATAAAAACCATTTATTTAGAAAAGCGACTGTATATTAACAAATTACAATCCTAGTACAGAGTTTACAGTATAATAACTTAATATTTAATTTAGTGTTGAGTTGTCCTTATACGAAATTAACTAAACAAGGAATGGCATATTTAGCTTTATCACAGCAGACATTTGAACAAAAATTCCGATGTGACTTATAATATAATGTGATTTTACATATGCTAATTGGTTACTAATAATATTTTGGATTTGTTTAGATGACACTATGTATCTACAGAACTAGGGAGCAAAAGAGATAAACAAAGACAGTGTAGGGCCAATTTAGATTTTTTTTCTATTAAAAAAAACATTCAGAAAATCTTAACAGTATTAAATTATTTTTTATTTAACTTTAGATAGTTTCTTGAAAGTAATAATTTCACGAAGAAAATATTTTATTAAAAAATAAAAAATATTTTTGAGGAGAAGCTTTATTGTGATAAATATTTCATCATTTTAAATAATTCAACTCAAAGTCAACATAGCTTCAAAGCAAACCACGAGACTATCAGTTGTGGGACTACAAAATCATAAAAATAAATCTAAGCCAATATCTTTATTTCTCAGGCTCCACGGGACAACATTAACTTTAGCGAGCCCTCAAATGCATTTTTTAAAACCCGTGTCCAGCCTCGAAACCTACACAGTAAACAGCCAGAGGCGATTCACTGGAAGGTGCGATAGCGCTGCTTTCTTACTCAAACTCAGGCCCGAGCTGGAGGGCTGTGAAATATGTATGACTATTTACCGAGACTAGAACCTGCTGACGGACGGATGAGCAGTTTTGTACCCAGAAGTAAGGCAAACAAAGAAGAAGTAGGGCTTTGATTGAATGAATGAAGACAGTCAATGCCATTTTTCCATACACTCATTATCAGCCATTGTGCACATGTGAATAGAGAGAAACAACAACAGCAATAACAAAAGCCCTTTGTCGGGAGCTATATTAATGTATTAAATAGAGGGCTGTCAAATCACTAAGAAAAATTCAGCCACTTCAGGAAGAAGAGCCAGATTGACTTAAGAAAAAGAAGAAAACCCTAATGAGAACGGAGGGAATTGAAATTCAAATGTTGACTAATTTGTTGGTGGCAGAAGACGTTGAACATCTACTTATGGTTGTAATGCATTTCCTGGCTTTGTGCATATTCATATGGGCTTACTGTGACACAGTCAACAGATGGCGAGAGGATGCAATGTGGAATTACACTGTGGAATGGGCTGCCATGAAGCTTCAAAGATGCCAATTCCAAATGCGAAATATTCAGTGAGGCGAGGTTTTGTGAGAGGCAGTGCCCTTTGAAATAACAATGAGCAAGGCCGATAATATTCCAGGTAGGGTTTTGGAAACAGTTTTTAGCCGTCAAAACTGAAAATAAACTTAGAGGAGAAGTCAGTTATGGACAATCCAAGTTTTCCAGCTCCACAGCATTTACAGTTCCTTAAATAGCATCTCTGCAATACTTGATATTTATATATCCTAATGGATTTGAGCAGTTGGTGTAAATTAAAATAACGTGCTGTGTATTTTACACTGTCAAATATCAGTATGAAGTCATATGCTGCCTCTCATTCTTATTTTACCTATTAACAAAAATGCAAACTCAGACTCCAATTCTAATTGTCACTAGTAAAAATCTAATTGCACTATTCAAATACATGTTTGTTACATCCTTTTGTGAGACCTTAATACAAATACATATAGAGGGATAGACCAGAAAGTTTAGAAATACCACAAAGAGAGAGAGGGATAAAGGTTGCTCAGCCCTCAGCCTTTTTGGTCTGTGCCAGGTTGAAGCTCGTGCCAAAACGCTCCTACCTTACGAGAGTAAAGAAGCCAGTAACACATGAGTGTAGGATCTATCACATCATATTTGACCTGTATACTGAAGGCTGTGCCTGTTCCCATCCATTTATAAATCCTTTTAAAATTATGGATTTTTGGTACACCATTGTGACTATGTTAGTAACTTCTATGTGCAGCATCCATTTGTAGACCTTGCCACCAAACCAAGACGTTATTCTTATTATGGTTTTTAATGATTTGTAAAGTAGTCACGATGAACTCACTGAGCCTCACAGTGTGATTTGGTCAAAACATAAATAAATACATATTTTCTATTTGACAAAATAAATACATTCTGAGTTGAACACTTGTCACTTGCATGTTCAATACAGACTCATCATATCTGTATTGAAAAGGAAAACAAATCTTCAATGACTTGACCCCTATTTAAACCCTTTAAAGATCATTTGGCTAACATAGACTGTTTGATCATGGCAAACATCCATCCATCTTTCTATCTTTTTCTTCACACACATATTCAATTTCAAGCATTGAGTTGATAGCTATTCTAGAATCTATTAGTCAGAAAGATGTCATAGGAAACATAAACACACACAGATGTATTCACACTGATGTATAATGTGTTGTGACTAATTCACCTGACCATCATAACATGTCTCTGGACTGTTGAAATAATCAAATCAACAATAAAATTGATCATTTTGTAATGGGAATCCAGTTTCATTGATGCATGAAAACGCAACAAGCTGCTGCGTTGCCATGGTGATTTCAAACTCAACAATGTCCATTCATGAAAAAAACACTTTGATTTCATCATCCAGATATCTGGTATTATCTGCTATTTATGTCATCCCATGGAAAGACTGAAATACCAGTCAAAACTCACTTACTATCAATTAATTTCGATTATTTTAATTTACAATGAACAACTATAATAGCAGTGACCAAAGACTTGTGTCCTTTTAAGCCTACTATTACCGAGGTTAAAAGACTATATGAATTCGTACTTAACTAACGGGAGAAAATATAAGATGTTATTTGTCTTTAGGCTCACATTTTCACACTGATTAAAATCCATTAAGACATGATAACAAGCTATTATGTCAGCCAGCAACACGTGATTCATCTATTTGTATAAAAGTCAAGAACACACTCGATATGTGTGTCACCGTTTTGCGCAATACATTTGTTTACCCAAAGATAAGGTAGTACATTGATGAAATAACATGTACTGTAGGCTATACCTGCTACCGTTAGCTAGCCTTCTCAGCTGAGAAATGCCAGCTGAGCTAACTGATAGCCAGCTCCAGCTCAGCGGTTCAACTCATTTATATAACTGTCTTACCTCCACTTAGTTTGGGAATTCGGCCAATTTTGTTGGTTACTTCGGCTGTAATGGTCCCAAAGTCCTGCTCGTATGCTTCAAAGTCGGAAGACATTGTGACGTTTAGGTTTAAAACAGGTTGCTGACAGTTAGCTCAGGATAATAACAACAAGTATCGAATGGTAGAATGAAGTTCCTTCCTTGAGTCGCAGTAAAATGCGCTCGGCAAGAAACATGATTTTATTTTCCTGACGCTAAAAGTGATTCAGCTTGTGAAAAGACTCTATCTGTCACGTTTATTTTTTTCAAGGGTTAACAAATACAAATACAATTATATTATAATAAATAAACAAATACATTAAATTGAGGATTTTAATTTGTCCACAAGAGGCTGGGGGTAACAATATGTGAGACACCATGAGAAAGGTTCCACTCGCTTTGTACACAGAAGAAATCGAAGAAAAAATCCAAGGAAGTGGACAGGTTGGTAATTTAAAGTGACAGTTTTTATCTCCATGTATACGAAATGTTCATATATGCGTATCAGTAAGCATTCGTTATATTTTTAAGATGCAATATAATCCGTGTTTTTTCTTAGCACCTTGTGTCAGTGATCCGTTAATCTTGTCAAGCTGGATAACAAGCTAGCTAGCTAGTTTACAGATGTCACGTTAGCTCTTATACAAAACCTAACAAAAATAATTGCAAAATTCACAATCCCTTTTGTAGTTAATTATTATTTTTGCCAGTGTGGTCTGATGTTGACACCTACATATACTATTCAAATACAATGTATTTGTCTTGATGCGGTTTAGCTAGCTTGGTAACAAGCTAATTAGTTTGTCCGCTGTTTGGGAAATGCTATGGCTTTCCAATAAGTAGAAATGCAGCGTCAGCCACTTTGGTGTATTATACATTTGCGTTTAGTGTGCTTGATCTAAAGCTTTTAGCTAATATGATTGCCTTATTGTAGGGACAATCATTGTGATGAAGTTTAAAACATCGGATTCTCTTATCAGGTTGCATTACTGTTAAAATAAGACTCCAGGAAATTACATTTTATTCTCTGTCAAACAACATCAATCCAAAACGTATAACATTTATGGGATAATGATTTATTACAGGGCTGTTATATTACAATATATTATTTGTAGGTAGGTGTGTTTAATAATCTGACAACTGGGTGTGTCTACCACAAACTTGGGTCATTAAGTGTAGATCACATGTGTTTTTAATTGTCTCTCTCTTTCTGTTTTTCTCTTAGATGGGGAATTAGATTTTGACACAAGACTAGTGTGCTCCGAAGATTGGCTGGAGAGGATGCTGCTCTTTGCCACGGCAAGGAACAATGGGACACGGAGAGACCCAATGACCCAAGAGCAGGCCAGTTGCTGGGTACTCAGAAGACGAGAAAAAATATGTGCATCACCTGCACTCCTGACTTTGCAAGGTAGCAGAGGAAAAGATTAACAGAAGCTTGGTCAATACATTTCAGGAACTCAACCAAAATATTAGTACAAACGCGAGAAGATGAATTTCCTGTCAAATTTTGTGACATTTCAGAACCTCCATGAGGTTCGAAGACTGTGCCACTGGGGTCCAGTCATAGCCCTGTCTGTCATTGCTATATGCTCCACCATGGCCATTCTGGACTCCATTATCTGGTACTGGCCACTAGACACTACAGGAGGCAGTATTAACTTCATCATGCTACTCAACTGGACTGTTCTCATCCTCTACAACTACTTCAATGCGATGTTTGTTGGACCTGGATACATCCCTTTAGGCTGGAAACCAGTAAGCATACTCAATAAAAAACTAAAGCTTAAAGCATTCAGTGTTTGTTTAAACAAAATAGTGTACAGAACAGGGTTTGACCATGTCTGTGAAATCACCTCTTAAATTTGCGATGTAGAGTGAAACCATACAGTCATATAAAATATATTTCATTACACATGTACCTTTTGTTTATCCCCAAACAGGAGAATCAACTGGAAGCCCAGTACCTACAGTACTGCAGAGTGTGCCAAGGTTACAAGGCCCCCAGGTCGCACCATTGTCGCAAATGTAACAGGTAGCTGTGTGAAAATTAAAGAGCATGCATCATATAATCTGTTATGTAAAAAAACAACCTAACATTCCCCACCACTCCTCTTCTCCTCTGCCTCCCCTCCACCAGGTGCGTGATGAAGATGGATCACCATTGCCCCTGGATCAACAACTGCTGCGGCCACCTGAACCACGCCTACTTCACCAGCTTCTTGCTGCTGGCTCCAATGGGATGCTCACATGCTGCCATCATCTTCATCATGACCATGTACACACAGCTGTATGAGAGAGTCAGTAGTCTCCTTACCACACCACACTATGCTTTTCATGGCCTACTGCCAACACAGCTTTTCCAGTTAATTAATCATTTTGATACACACTGTTTTCTTTTTCCTAACTGTAGATATCTTTTGGCTGGAGCACTGTAAAGATTGATATGAGTGCTGTGCGTCAATTCCAGCCTCTCATGCCATTCAGTGTGCCCGCCTTTGCTGCTACACTCTTTGCCTTAGGCTTGGCACTTGGCACCACTATTGCCGTTGGCATGCTCTTCGCCATACAGGTACGTTTTTCATTGGGGTTGTACATTTATAGTAGCTTGTGGCTAGTATTGCTGTCATTGACATGATCATTTCAGCATTAACCTTGGAAATGATGCCATTTATTAAAGCTGGAGTGTGCAGAACTTCTATCTCCCACTTCTCGCAGTGAGCAAAACTACACAAACACTGTTGATGTGTGCTTATGACAAATGCCTATGCATTCAGGTAAGCTTGCAGCGGCTCCCCCAGTGGTCCCCGTTTGCCCTTGGCATCGCTTTCTAATTAGAACTTAACCCTTTGTCTTAACGCTGTTTTCTCATCTGAAGCATACATTCAAGAAGCTTTTGCAGACCCTTTTTAGGTTTTTCCTCCATACTTTAAACTGCTGTTCCCCCTTCCTGCCCCTATAGCTCTGACTAGTTGACACATGATAGTGCACCAGAGCAAGAGAGTTTCCACAGACACCACAGCTCTGGTACACTGCAAAAATAAAGAGAGCATTCCCTTGCGGTGATAGCCTAATTCAGCATTGAGTGACCTCGTTTGGTGAAGGCTTGAATGTAACAGACATTTATTGATGTATAAAAGTCCTACGATCAAGCTAAAAGGCAAATATAAGTTGACTGAAATAGTCTATCTTTTTCAGATGAAAGTCATCCTTCGAAATAAGACCTCGATCGAGTCCTGGATCGAGGAAAAGGTCAGGATGTTTCTTTGGTTTCCAATGCTTGTTTTGTGATGATATCTCAGTTTTATTTAACATGGGTGCCTTTTTGTATTATTTGTTGTTTGATCTACAAACAATAATGTAGAATGTCACAAGCTTTGCTATTTAAAGCTTTGTTCTTTAAATAAAAATGTTCCCATTTATGACTAATTCACACACATCCCAGGATCATCTGTCAGTACAATACAGCAGGCTGAAACTTGACACCACCCCGCCTAAACAGTCCTATTGAAACACATACGAACACAACCTCCTCTGTTTTCCACTAGGCCAAAGACAGAATACAGCACTACCAAACAGGGGAGGACTTCATCTTCCCTTACGACCTCGGCACCCGCTGGCTCAACTTCAAACAAGTCTTTACGTGGACAGGGTCGCCCAAGGGTGACGGCCTCGTATGGCCAGTCCATCCCAAGTGTCACCAGCACACCTTAACTGTAGGTTCAGTTTGTTGTTTAGTATTGCATCTTTCTTTGTATTTCTGATGTCAAAGTTTCTTTGATTTTTAATTTAGCATTAGGTATTCTAATAAATCCTATTCTTGATACATTTCCTGTATAACAGTGAGATTTAAGTGAGGCTAATTGTCTTGTTCCCCCTCAAACAGATCGAACAACTGAAGCAGAAAGCTGATAAACGAGTGAGAAGTGTAAGTACCATGTGGACTTGATTTACACACAGATACACAAGAGAAGGTTTTAATTTGGATTGGCTAGGAAGTATGCGACTCCAGCGGAATGTTTGTGAGATTTAATCAATTCAAACATCAAGACAAAATCACTGTAATTGAATGCAGATTGTCAGAAATGTTGTCAGACATTGAAATTAATTATGATTGATGAATGTGACTTTATTAACCCACATTATTATCATGTCTAAATTAAGTTTGTTGTGGGGGCAGTATAATAATCAGATATGTTGTATGCATCGGCCAGCAGGTCCAGTATCAGGCAGTGGAGGACTATAATGGAGCCTGCTGTCCTCTCAGCAAAGGACTCCAAACCTTTTTCAGAACCCCCTGCACCGAAGAGCCCAGAATCCCCCTCATTAAGGGGGACACCATCCTGGCAACTCGTGGCACTAAGTAAGTTCGTTGTTTGTGTGTGTAGATCTCTGAATTGTTGATGTAAAAAAACTAAATGTCTAAAATGGTTTGATATAAGGCCAAACACCTGACCAGACTGGGATACCAAATTGTACCACTAGGTGTCACACTTGACTCAGAATCGCCTCCTGAGTGAAGCAAAATGAGACTGAGCGTACCTATTGCAGTTGTGCTTACAAGTTGCTTCTTTTCTTCTTTTTTTCCGCTTGAAATCCAAAATGTTGTCGTATTGATGCAGTTATAGTTTTCTTTGAAACAAACTCTAAAACACATCTTCCTCTCTCACAACTTTTCTGAAATTTGATCTTTGATTTATATTTAAAGGTCCCATGTCATGGCCATTTCTACTGATCATAATTCCATTGTTGAGGTATACTAGAATACATTTAAATTGTGCAATTTTCCAAAATCACATTGGTTTCTCATACAGCATCTCTGTATAGTATGTGTATTCACTGAATTTCACTCTGTCCTAAACGGCTTGTTGGAGCTCCTGCCCCCCCCCCCTCCCTGTGAGCCCAGTGTGCTCTGATTGGTCGGAACGTTGCGAGGCTCGCTGCTGCAGTGTGAGCTCGCTGGCGGTGTGTTTTCCGGGTCGGCGATACAGCGAGACACAGCGAAACTCATCCTGAGCACACACAAACACTCACAGCCGAAGTAAAAACAATAAGTGTGGCTTGATATTGAGTAAGAAAACGGTTGATAAACGCTGTGAGAATGGGTCTGCGGAGAGCATTTCTCCGCGATCCCAACTCGTCTATTACCAGCGTTCAGGGAGCTCTATGCAAGTCTAGG